GATGGCACTAGAATTCAGTCTTGAAGGAATGGAACGATTTCATCAAGCAGAGGTGCATAATGTCCACTCCAGACATGGGTAATGATGCCCTACTTGAATAGCAGACAGAAGATCAAAGAATAGAAAGTAGTCCACAAAGTTCCCATTAAAGGACATAGTAGACTGGGGCAGGGGGGTGAGGTTGGGGGGGTTGAGGGATGTAGGTGGAGGGGAAAGATATATGATGATTGTTTTCAAGTATTTAAAAAGCTGCCACACACAAAGGGTTTAGACTTGTTTCTTTTGCCCCACCCCCTTCCATAAGATAGAACTAGGTAAAGGTTACAGATAAGTAGATTTAGACTTGCTGTTAAAACTTCCAAATATTTTGAGCTATTAAATAATTGGATTTGTCTGCCTGCCTCAGGAGGTAGTGAGTTTTCACTTACTAGACATCTTTAAGCAAAGGATGAATGATCACTTCTGTATTTGTTTTTTTGTAGATGGTATTTCTCAAGTTAAGTATGGGTTGGTCTAATTGATTTCTGAGATTCCTTCCAACTTTGAAATTTTGATATTCTGAGCTAACTGCACCAAGAAGAATGGCAAATATGAAGAATTTTTTAAAAAGGGGGAGATTTATTGTAAACTTATAAAGTAAAAAGAGCAGACCTAGAATATAAAAATCATGACTACAACTAAGTCATTGCACAAAATACTAAAGGATAATGAAACTTAAGATTAAATATAATTGACATTGGTTCCAAACTATTAAAGCACAAGTCCTTCTTTTCAGTTAAAAACTGTTTTAAAATATTTTTTAAAAGAGTATTTTCATAAACAAAGTAGAACAGAAAAAGAGGCTTATTTTATGAAACCATATATTTCTATTATATCCTCCTTACTTTTTAAAAACATATCTAATAAATTCAATATTATTTTCAAAGCTCTCCACTGCTTATTTATGTTTTCCTCCTAATTTCCTTCTTTTATTCTCTATGCATTTGAAAAAACGTTTCAATGACTCTTTCTTCTCTTTTATTGGCAACACCTCTCCTATTTCCTCACAAATCTCACCCCCAATTGAAAAAAAGAAAAACAAAATCCTTGTACCCAACAACCAGTCAAGCAAAACAAACTCACACACTGGAAATGTCAAAAAAAAGAAATTTTTCATTTCACACCTCTCTGTCAGGAGATGGACAGCATGCTTCATCACTGGTCCTAGAATGAGTGTCTTTTTATACTGAGGGTCAAGTTCATATCAGATGCTACACAAACCAATCAGCAGTGTTTCATGATTTTCTCCAGCTCCATTCAAAAACAAATGAATAGGATTGAAGAAGGCTGTAAGCTGGGATTTAGAAAAGTTGTGACTGGCTATAGATATAACAAGGAGGCAAAGGATTCAAGAGAAGTGGACAGTGTAGAGTTGAATTGGTTCACCAAGTGGTCGAGAACCTTTCTACACCTTAGCAGAGAAACTCAAAAACAAAAAAACAAAGGGTTAAGGACAAACTTCTAGTGATAACTCACTCCAAACTAGAGGATGATAGTGAAAGGAATACTGGATCGGGAGTTTTGAAAATATGACTTTAAATCATGGCTTTGCTACTTATTGCTTGCAAAATCTTGGACAACTATAACCTTTAAGCCTCAGTCATCTGTAAAAATGAGAGGTTTAGACTAAATGACCCTAAACTCCTTTCCAGCTTTAAATCTGTGATCACTGAATGATAAACATATATAATTTATCACTAGACCCACACTCAAAGCATTCCAAACTTGCTAGGACATTTTGCATGGTCTTAGTAAAGCTTGCGAAAACCCAGGATTAATTCCAAACCACAATGAAAAAAACCAAAGCAGTACCCTAGAAAACTAATTTAAATTTTCAAAATATAACTCTACTTTCAAAAAAAAGCATTTTTATCCATGCTACTGAATTTCTTTTCTTACTCTCCATATCAACCTGACAGCAGTGCTATTTGAATTCTAAAACAGCCAAAAATCAATAATATTAAAGATAACTGATATTTCTCTAATACTTTAAGGTTTGTAAATTACTTTGCAGATTTATCTCATTTGATCCCCAAAACAACAGAAAAACCTGTGAGGTAAGTGTTATTAATATCTAATATCTAAATATCTAGTATCAAAATTATAGTTCAAAAGAGTTTAGTGATTTGCCTATAGTCACAATAGCAGAATTCAAACCTAGGTCTCTCCCTTTTTTTGGTTTGGTTTTTTTTTTATCAGGGGAGAGCTAGACCATGCAGTCTCCCACTATCACAAATTATGCAGTCAGAGTTTCCCGAATTTGGGGAAATCACAGAGGTTAGGCCATCCAGAGAGCAATGGATAAACCTCTCCCCATGGAATCGCCCCTGCCAGGTTAAGTATCTAAGTCTCTCCTGACTCCAAGTGCTCTATTTTACTATACCATACTATCAATAAAAAACAAAGGAGAAATAATATTAAGGCTAGCATCGAATAAACGCACAATTAGAAAACAAACTTGGCCAGCCATGTAGCAAAAACAAGAAGCCAGCCACTTGCTTTAACTGGAAGAAAAAAAAACGCAGTGTCTTTGGAAGAAGGCTCCCTTTCTCCATCAAATGGCGAAGAATGCATGGAAATTCATGGAAAGATATAGGGGAAAAATATGGTTAAAAAAAAAAGTCTCACACAATAAAAAGCTGTGGATAGATTATCATCTGTGTTGACACAGAATGCAAATTCATCCAATTATTGGGAAAAATTAATTCGTGTCTTTAGTTTACAACAATGAACCAGCTCCTGCAAACACTATATATGCATGTATGTAACAATCTTCTACTGTTAATGGTTACCTTTCTATGGGTTACCTATCTATCTACCTTACTTGCCAAGAAATATTTCATTCATCTCTATCTGAAGATCAAACAGGCAACTGTTAATGCTGTTCATGCATAAAACATGAACAATTTACAAGTGGGTTTTAAAAAAAAGATTTAGAACTATCATATCAATCCAATATTGACCCACTTCACTACTGCCTCTAAACAATAGGAGTTTATTAGACAGATGACACTTCTAACTTCTCTAATCTTGAACAAAGTCCTTTATCTTTACAAAGGTTTTCTCCTTGTTGGATAAAATCCTAATTTATAAAACTACTATTTTAATTTAAGAAATTGACAATCATTTTTTTTTAAAGTATGAAAATTCCCTACCACCAAGAGATCATCATTAACTCTCAAAGAAAAAAAAAACAACAAAACACTTGCAATAGTTTCAATAAAGTCTATTTTAGATGTCAACATCCACCTTAATACGAAAGTACATACCTCCAACTACAAGTTTTTAAAAATGTCTATGAAGAGAAGTCTACATACATATATTTTTCTCTCTCATTAAGAGCCAGTATTTGAATTTTTCAAAGTCAAATTCTTTGGGATTCAGAGGTTTCCTTTAGGATGCAGATAAACTATTTCCTCACAGTCAATATTTCCAGAGCTTTGCTCAAAAATCAATTTAGACCATTAACTGTCCTAATACTCTACTTCATACTATCTTTCTTCATAACATGGATAAAACTGACCCAAAATCTCTAAGTTAAAAAAAATTCAAATGTAGTTTTAGTCATAAACATAACTAGCTAGAAGATACCTGAGGACATCAAATCCAACCTGCTTATTAAAAAGATGAGGCCTGAAGTGATTAAGTGTTGGCCCAAAGTCACTCAAGTAGCAGGTAAATGGGCTGAGAGTCAAATCGCAGTTGGACTACAAATACAAGGTCCTTTCTCCACTATACCATGTTGCTTTTGTGTTTCAAAGAATACCTAGAATTCAAAGAACTCTACTTTGTTTGGGAGTCATTTATAAAGGGACAAATTCCCATATCCTCTGCATCAGTAATCTATAAAGAGCTTTTTCTAATGTTAACAGAAGCCTAGAAACTGATTCTTCATTCACTAACTCAGAGATATGAATTCGATGTATAGGTACAGGGGAATTTAGTTAGCTTACAATATCCAAAAATATAATCAATATTAACAACATTCAATAAGAAATGCTGATGTCCTAAACACAACTGACAGAAGGTCCCTGGAATGAAGATTTGGAAAAAGTCTGTCAAATACAAATATAAGCAGCCAAGATAGTTTAAAGACATTAGCTACTTATTGTTTTTACATTTTTATCAACTATGCCTGAAAAATCTGATTAGAAGCAAATCAGTTATCAGACAAAAATTATATGTTATTTACATGGAGTACTATTTCTACATCAGAAAATTCTGATTAGAAGGAAATTAGTTATCAGAGAAAAATTAAATGTGATTTATGTGGAGTAATCACACCCATGAAATCACAAATCTTCAAAATACTAATGACTTAAAGTAAGTAATTTCTACTGGGCATGAACTACATGTAAGCCACTATAGCACTAAGAATAATATAGCCCCTGCATTTGAAAAGTATACAATTCAATTCTTAAAGTATTTATTAAGTACTAACTACATGCAGGTCTGTGATACTCTGGAATTATAAAGATAAAAACGACACCAACCTCATCCTCATAAAATTAAGTTCCTAACACACTTAAAAAACCAATTTAAGTACCTGTCTCTAATATCATTTATGGCTACAAATACTCAAGGCTACTTCACAAAGAACTCACTGCTACAAGGAAGACAAGTAGCAGTCTAAGTTTAACTTTTCCTTGGTTGATCATATGTAAAGAAACAAAACCACACAGTAAGACTTTATACTAAGAAGCTAAATTGAGGATATCAGTTTATTCCGTATCTTTTCAAACCCTAATATGGAGATCTACATAACATGTATCATAAACCATAAATTCCCTATAACATGCTTGAGTTATTTTGTATCTTGAAAAATATAATTTAGTAGTTCTTTCTCTTAAGGCAAATAATATAAAAAAAAATGAAATTTACTAAACTTGAAACTTTAATTTAGTGTGACAAGATTTAAGTCAGTTTGACTCAGATTGAAGTTATTACTTGTTCTTTCTTACCTTTAATAATTCCTTGCAGCTATCAAGGCCAATATCCACAAGGATGCCCTTCACTTTTTTCCGAACCTTCCTAATATTGTCAAGATTTTCAACAGGAATTTGAAACATTGTGACTTTCCTAAAGCAAAAGCAAAAAACAAAATAAAACAAAACAAAAAACAGGAATATAATAAGCACATATTACTAAGAAATTTCACTTCTCTGCAATTAAAAATTTAAAACATTACAACACTTACTGAGGTTTGTATCTCTTAAATGATAAAATAAACTTCCATTTGTGGCAATAATATTAAAAGTAATGAGTAGGAAAGATGAATTAAGTAGACATTAACAAAGTAAATAAAAGGTGTATTAAAGAAACTACTACTTATAGTCTCTGTAACCTATGAAATAATTATGAGATATTACACAAGAATGAAAGGTAATACTTTTTATAGTCTCCAACAGCTGAACTCTGAATGAACAGGATCCATCCCTACCAAAAGAAGTGTGTGGCATAGTTAACATTTTAGTAAAATGGGTACTTTGTCTATCCTGAAGTAGAAAAGCTATATATCTAGAAGTTTTAAAAATGACTTCTACTTTTAAGTTTTATTTTTAAAATTATGTCATATCATAGGTATACTACTACAATGTTGATGGAGCTGTGAAATGGTACAACCATATTGGAAAGCAATTTGGAATTATGAGTTTTGAAATGTCTATACCCTTGGACTCAGAGGTCGCATTGCTACACATATAGCCCAAAGAGGTGAAAGACAGAAAGATCCCTGATGCACCAAAATATTCATAACAGCACTTTTTGTAATAAGAAAACACTGATAACAAATGCCCACTGAATATGGAATGAAAAAAATATGTGACATATGGTTTACAAATATATAAGAAACTGATAAGAATTCAAAGAAACCTAGAAGACATATGAACAGATTCAGAATGAAGCAGAACCAAAATATATGTATTTATGCAATAATAATAACAATATAAGAACAAAAAAAAAACAGAATGCTGTGATTTTAATGGCCAGACTTCATTAAGGAGAATTGTGAAACTACAACTCCCTTCATTCATTGCATAGGTAGGGGACTATAGGTGTGGAAGACAGCATACAACAGAAATTCTCAAAGTATTGTCTATGGATCCCTGGGCCCTCCTCCAAAACATTTCAATGGAGTCTTAAGAGATCAAAATTGTTTTCATAATCATACTAAGACATTACATGCCTCTTAAATTGCACCTTTTTCAACTGCCTATTTGTGTAAGGCTAGATTTTCCTCATAAACATAAGCCAAAACAATTTATCACAACAAACTGAATGTAGAAGCAGACATGGGAATCCAGCTGCGTTCTATTAAACCGAACATTAAAAGAGATTTGCAAACATAATGTAACTCTTCTCACTAAATTTTTTGGTAAAGTTATTTTTCATAAAAATATTTGTTAACATGTAATTTTTTTACTGTTATTTTAAATTAATATTTTAAAATTTTATAAGTTTCAATTCTAAATAAATGGTAAATATCAATAGATATAACCAGAGGTGTGTTGGAACCAGCCTGAACCAGGATTATTAAATTTTCAGTGTGAGAATTTATCTCAGAAATCAGCAAACATAACTAATTAAGACTTGATCAATTGTTTTGATTGTCTAAACAATCACAAAATGTTAAATTATTCAAATTAAACTTAAAACTGTGTTGGCCCTGAGTTTTTCTCTCCTCAGGAAAGCTAGATGTTAAACATTTACCAAAACACCCTTGAATATAATTCACATAAACAGTTCTTTGGTGTCCTTAATAATTCTGTAGAGTATAAAAGGGTCCTGAGACCAAAAAGTTTGAGAACTGCTAGCAGATGCTATACTATCAAACTGTTGATGCACTGGTTATTTTGCTGAACTTTTGTTTCTTCTCCCTTCAGTCTTTGTTTCTAGGAATGGTTCCTTGGGGAGGAAAGGAAAGGACATACAGGCTATGTATATGATGTAAACAGACATCAATAAAAATGATAATTTAAAAAAATAAATCCAGGTGAAAACTTCTATTATAAACAGAAGCCAAAATCCTCATTTAACACTACCATCCCCCCTCAAACTATAATCCTCTAATTCTCCTTCATTTTACAGAAAATTCCCAGAAAAAAAGGTGTCCTCACTTATTTTCACTTCCTTTCCTCTTACTAGCTTTAGCTTCTTAACTCCTGTCAATTTGGCTTATTTTACTCAACTGAAAAAGCTTCACCCAAAGTTACCAATGATCACTGAGAACAAACTTCATCTTTCTTAACTTCTCTGCAGTATAATATTGATGACCACCCTTTCAAGCCTCCTGGAGACTCTCCTCTGTAGGTGCTGCTCTACCTTGGTTCTCACTGCTGAATTCTCAGTCAGTAATGATCATCCATATTGTGCCTCTGTGGATCTTTGCCAAAACTCCTCTCCTCAGCACAATTCTCACCTCTCTACACTCTTTGTGACCTCGTTTATATACATATACATACCTATATACACACATATACATATGTAAATATAACAGGTCACATATGTGTGTGTGTATATATATAATGTGCATATATCTATATACCTATACACAGATATAAAAACACTAATTGTGTACTAGACTTTTTAAATCAGGATGTCCCACAGACATCTTATACTCAACATGTCCAAAAGAGAATATTATCTTTCTTATTTCTGTCAAAGGCACCTCCACCTTTCTATTTATCTATGTTCCCAATCTCCAAGGCATCTTCAAATGCTTACTGTTCCCTTCATTCAATCTATTGCCTAGTCATGTTTATTCCACCTACAAAACATTACCTGTCTCCTCTCCACTCACATCACTACCAACCTAGTTTTGGCTCTCATCATCTCTCACTTGCCAAGGTCTGTTGATTTTATATTTGTAATATCTCTCACATAAACCTCCTCTTTTCTGACACTGCCATCACTCTGGTGCAGGCCCTCATCCTTTCAACCTGGACTACGCAATAGGCTGCTGGTTGGTATTCCTGCCATAAGTCTCTTCCCCACTCCAGTCAATCCTTCATCCTCAGCTGTCAAAGTGATCTCCTTACACAGATCTGATCATGTTACCCCCTCCCTCTACTCAAAAATCTCCAGGGGCTACCCATCACCTCCAGGATCAAACATAAAATCCTGTTTGTCATTGAAGTAATTCATGACTGGCCAGCCTCCTCATCCCTTTCTAGTCTCCTTACACCTTTCATTACTGGCTCCCCAACACACTCTGTAACACAATGACATTGCCTTCCTGTTTCTCCATCTCCCAACTCTGGGCATTTTCACTGGCTGTCCTCCATGCCTGTAATGTTCTCCCTCTACATCTCTGCCTCCTGGCTTCCCTCAAGTGTCACCTAAAATCCCACCTTTCAAAGGGAAGCCTTTCCTCTAGCTTCCCAATTCTATTGCCTTCCCTCTGCTGATTATTTCCAACTTAAGCCTGTATACTGCTTATTCACCCAGCTGTTTGCAAATTGTCTCCCCTATTAGACTGTGAACTCCCTGAGGGCAAGGACTGTCTTTTATGTTCCTTAGTATCCCCAGTGCTTAGCACAGTGCCTAGCACATAGTAGCACTTAATAAATGATGAGTATTACAACAACTTCCTAACTGGTCTTGTCTTAAGACTCTTCCCTCTTCAATTCATTTTCTACTCAGGTGCCAAAAGGATATTTTTTTTAATAGGCAATTGGGGTTAAGTGACTTGCCCAGGGTCAACCGGTTAGTAAGTGTCAAGTGTTTGGTCTGAGGGCAGATTTGAACTCAGGTCCTCCTGACTTCAGGGACAGTGCTCTATCCACTGCGCCACCTAGCGGCCCCCAAAAATGATATTTCCAAAGGATAGGTCTGACCATATTACTGTTATGCTCAATAAACTCCAGTGGCTCTCAATTACCTTTAGATCAAATACAGACTCCTGTTTGGAATATATGGCATTCACAATCTGGTTTCAGTCTACCCTTTTAGCCTTATAACACTTCACTTCATGTTATCTATACTCCATCCATAATGTCCTTCTTGTTGTTCTTCATCTCTAGTCTCTATGCCTTCAGTTTGTCTCCCATGCCTAGAATACACTCCATAATCAGGTATCTACCTCTCAGGGAAGAAGGAAGTAATGGAATAAGCATTTATATGGCGCCTATTATGAGCCAGGCACTATATGCTAAACGCTTTACAAATATCTTCTCATGTGATCTTCTCCTTAAAGCTTAGATCAAATATCACATCCTACATGAAGCTTTCTTGACTCCCTAAACTGCTAGTATGTTCCACAATCCATGCCAAATTACTGTGTATATACAGTCTCCACAGAAGAACAGAAGCTCCTTGACAGCAAAAGCTGTCATTTTCTCTTTGTATCTCCAGCACCTGGAACACAATAAGCACTTAATAAATGCTTGCTGACAGACTGAAAGGAAATCCGTTGACAGCATGAAGATATGGTAGTGAAAAGACCTTGACTTTAGGTGGTTTTACCACCTACTTAGCTGGATGGCCTTTGGCAAATAATTTTTTGTTCTTTAATTTCCTCATCAGACAAATCAGAACAACTGTCCTACCTCCCTCAGAGGTTTGTAGCAAGCCCAAAAGAGGTAATATACTTGAAAACTCTCTAAAGCCTACATATAAATAAAAGGTTAAAACTATACACAAGTTCGTTAGTGTAAATTCAACTTTTCAGGAAACTCCTATTCCACCAAATACAATAGAGCTGTGAACAAATTTTAGATGACATAGGTTTATATGTGGAACATACTAATATAATATGGTTTAAACTTACAAGTAGAAGCTTTCTAGTCCTTAGAGGGTTTTCTTAATAGTTACATTCATATAGTGTTTTAAGGTTTGCAAAGTTTTACATCTATTTTGCTAAGTTTTACATATATTATGTATTTGATCCTCATGCTATCCCTGAGAGGTAGGTGCTATGATTATCCCCATTTTACAGATGAGGAAACTGAGGCAGACATAGGTTAAGTGACTTGTGCAGGGTCACACAAATACCAAAAGATGCTTATCTGGCTATATAAAAACTGCAAAGAATCTTTAAAAATAAACTGAAATAGAAAACTATATTTTAAGGGCTATTTAAGAATAACTTTTAAGTAGCTTGTTCAAAGGTTTTACTTAATTTTAACAAGTATTTCCCATGAACTTGGAGAATAATTAATAATCTTTAAATAGCAATTATTTTTATTTTCAAACCCCCAGGAAACTAAAAGCAATGGATATAAATGACACCAGGAAAATCAAAAGTACATACAGTTCCTTTTGCAAAAAATAAATAAATAAATAAAAATTCAAAAAGTTTATAACTGGAAAGGAGGCAATAATATCTAGCCTTTACAAAGCATTTTAAGGTTGACACAAAGCATTTTAGAAATATTATCTCATTTTAAAAATACATACTCCAAACTTTTCATTTTACACATTCCATAAAGGTGAAGTGCCTTGATCAAGATTATAAATAAAAATATTTTACAGCTATAGAAAGTATGACTAAAGTCAGGAGATTAACTTTCATGAGGCACTAGCCATGAGTTCCCAACCATATCTTATGTTCATATATTCCATCTCAAATTGCTATTAACAATAAAGCAAGTGCATTCTGCGACTCCAAGTGGGTTAAAACAGGGAAGAAATACAGTTTTGCTGGTGCAATGAAAAAGCCAAAATCCTTTACATGTTCAGTATCAACTCAGATTCTATTCAAGCACTCATTAATATGACCTGACAAATTTGTTACTAGAATGTTTATATCATTATGTTCTCACACCTGAAGTTCTTTTCTTGGGAGCTGGATCTGATAGACAGCTGATGTTCTTCCCATTTGACGTAGAAGGACATCTGATGTTCTTCCCTACCTTTGCTTCCTGGGTTCAAGACATACAGTAATACCTTATTTATCTTATCAGAAAAAGAGCTATTCTATATAAAATAATTAAAATTTTCTACATACTAATACTTCTCCTTTTTAAATCATCAAAACATCAATTTATCGAATCTAGTGATCAAATTTTTCAAAAATATATTTCATAAATCTTCTTTCTTAAAAAGCATGTATAAAGAATATAATGTAATCTTTACTTGATGACTTAGGTCCATGAACATCAGTAGACTGTCCTATAATATGGTGTCCTTTGAGTCAGGATATGGACATGAACAAGGTTGCTTACTAACAGTCCCAAACATGCTCCAGATTCTTGTTTCTTCTCTTCTGTCAGCTGTCATATTTTGCCCACGGGAATTGCCTTAGTAAGCTCTAAGACTATAATTTATAAGGCATTTGCTGATCTGCATTAATAGTTTTTTCCCTGGGCATTCCTTAAACCTATGAAATAGTGACAGGTAATTTTTATGCATAGGCAGATGGTGTGTGTGAATGCACACATGTGTGCTGCACTACTACTTTTGGTTCATCTGATAGATAATTCATATAGTATCTGAGTTCTGAACCTAACATGCAAATATTGACATTTAAAATTATAAAACCAAACAGGAACAAGATTAAAAAAACAACAACAGTTAAACCAATAAAGGCCTGGCAAATCACGTACATACTGAATGAAAACATTTCCTCTATCCATCAACAAAGAGAGAAGTTTTTGAAGCAATTTTCATTATATACCATCCCAGAAAATTAACAATTTACCCTACCCTCCCTTCACCAATTTCAGAGATTCTTAACCTGGGTTCCACAAACTGACTTTTATAATAACTACATATTGGTTAGTAACCCTCCATTTTATTTTTATGCACTTTAGAACATTAGTCTGAGAAGGGCTTCACTAAACTGCAAAAGTGATCTATGACACAAAAAACATTAAGAATTTCTGATCTAGTGTGTATCGTCTACAAATTGCCATACAGTGGTCAGGAGATGACTGGAAACTAAGTAAGAAAGAAGAAGACCTGTTCTGAGCACACTCTAAAGGTGCTTAAGATCTAATTCTAGCCTCCATCATCTCCCAATGTGAAAGAATAGGACATTTAAAAAAAAAAAGGATCATAATGATTTCAATGATTAAAGTGGTGAATTATTAAATAAACAGTGTGCTGAAATGGAAAAATAAGTACTGGGCTGGGAATCAGAAGACTCATTCAATCCTCACTGCTATTTACTAGTTCTTGGTTAAACCTAAGTATTAGTACTAAGTATTTCTAGACCTCAGCATCCTAATCTGTTTTTAGAAAAATGAGAGGGGAAATATAGCAGAAGTCAAATTAGGGTTAGGAATCCCTAACCATCAACTTTTATTGTGTTCATGTACTAATCACACAAGATAGTATTAAGACAGAGGTTTTCTAGACAATGTCACCTATACGCACTCAAATCTATTCACTGTACATCCAAATGATTCAATATTCTCTGGACAGTTCTCTAAATATTATAGGTGTTCAGCCAAAATTAAAACCAGTATTTCCACAATGAGTTGACAAGAACAAATCATCAATCTGGTAACCACCCTATATAAATTTATCATTAGTTCTCAGGTAAATGACAACCAAACCTGTAATTTCAGGTAAAAACACTAACAACAACCAGCAAAAATCAAACACCTTTTACTCACAAGTATTTACAAGCTGAGCTTTAACTCTACTCTAAAACTTTCTAGCATGCATGAGGCCACTTTAGAAGAAAATTCTTTCATAAACCGATCTAAATGATTCACATAATTATAAGTATCAAGAATTTTGAATACCCATGGAATTGAAGCAAAGCAACCTGAGAAGCCATCTAGTTCAACAGAAGAGACCAAGAATTTCCCTTACAATAGGGCCCTCCAAGCTTCAGTGAAGGGAAATCCAGTCCAGTCCCTGGCAAAGTAAACAAAACTGAATCTCAGCTGTTTATTGTGTGTGACTTTGGCAAGTTTCTTCATCTGGAATATAAGGGGATTTTCTTAAAAAAAAAAAAAAAAAAGCTCCCTATTCAGCTTATGAACTCACTCAAAAACTCAAAAAATCTTACGAACTCACAGCTGTCAGGTCATTAACATGCCTATCAGAACCTGAATTTTACATAGGAAAAAATAATTTGCACTACACAGGGCACAAGGAAAGTACCTTGTAAAATTAAAGTGCAACATATTTATTATCTCCGAAGTCACACTGCCACAAAACTGTCTAAGCAGAAAAAAATCTTAAGTGTGAGAACAGTGCTAAAAACCATCTCAGTTCCACCGATGCACTTTAAAGATTTTAAGAGTGAGCTACCTTCAACTTAAAAGTCAGTTTCACACATTTATAGTTAAAGTTCCAAATTAGCAGGAAAGGCCTTTGTCCATTTTTTTTTTTTTTTGGCTAGGCAATGGGGTTAAGTGGTCAATTTTATTTAATATGTAAGATTCTAGAAGAACTAACAACAAAGGAAAATTTCAAATATCCTCTGAAAATGCTAACTCGAAGTATAGTAAGTCACAGAACTTGACTTCTGCAAAAAAGGCAATTAGAATAATTATAGCATTATTTTCTTAATTCAGAACTACCTATACACTGCATTATTTTTTCCTTTAAAGAAAGCTTTGTTTCATTCTATTTTTCCTAGAATACCAACAGTAGTGGCAAAGTTTAAAAAATTAACATTCGTTTATGAAGTAAAAATCACCAGTAATAAGTGATACTAAATTGAAATAACTGACATTTATATTCAAATGCATTCCAAACTAAAAGGAAGTGTCTCCACTAAAACGTGTTTAATATTTGGATGCTTCAGATTACTAATTTCATGCTAACGAAATTATATTTCTTGGGCTTGTTGTATCTGAAATTTGGGTTTTCCTAAGGTTTCGCAGCATGCCTTAAAATATAGTAACAAAGATATGTAAACAAAGGAAAGCATTTTAATTCAATGCAGCCCGAGCAGAAGTGGGAAGTAAGGTTTTAAAAGTCACTTAATATTTACATAACAAGTACGCTTCAGTATTCACCTGAGAAAACAAAGTGAACCTAGAATTTCATAATAAATCGTCCTCCCAAGTTTCAGTTAACTTTTCTCCTTGGGGGAAAGAAAAAAAAAAAAAAGCAAGCAAATTTAATTAGTAAAGAGCAGGAAAGGACTCTTTAGAACCTCGAATCATCTGAGTCTTCTCAGAGATCCTTTGGAGAGCCAGGACCAAATTCTCTATACCTTGCTAGCGCCCATGGCTCCAAGAATTGTTATTATCTGGATTCTTGCTCGCCGCGTCCACAACTCCAGCTCCTCGAGTGCAGGGAAACCAAGATGACCGAGGAACGAGGTTGGCCAACTGCACCCCCTCGGAGCAACACCCTAAGCCCAGGTGACCCTGAGCATCATTTTTTCCGTCTCCCCTTTCCCCCGTTACAACGCCTCCCTGGCCCACGTGACTTCCCCCGAGCCGGACACGGGGGTTAAGGGCACCAAGCCGAGCGCAACGTTCTTGAGCCCCGGGGCCCCAAAGCTGTGCTCTGCCCAGCGGCCACTCTGGAGAACGCCCCCCGGATTCCCCGGTCGTGAGAGCACAATGCGGCAGCCTCCAGCCTGGGACAGAAGTGAAGCGAGGTGGGAGAGGCCGCGGGAAAATGCTGCGAACACCAACTTCCCCCTGACTAGAGGGCAATTTGCGGGCAGAGGAGGTCCCGCCGTGGAGCTGGCAGCTCGCGCCCACCACCGCCCGTCGGATGGTCCCCGGTCCCTCCCCGGGCTGGGACGCGCCCGCCCGGCCCGTCTCCCCGCCCCCTCCGACGGGGAGGTCGGGAAACCGGCGCGCGGGCGGGCCTCGAGCCGACAGTGGCGCGCGCGCACGCGAGCGGGCGGCGCATCTGACTGAGTGTGCGGAGCGCGGCTTTTCTTTCCTCTCAGTGCAGCCTGGTCAGCGGGCGCTACTGCGGGATGCTGCTGGCGACCACACTGTACCTACCGCTCAGCGCTGAAGAGGGAGCTCTTTTCCTCCTCCTCCCGCCGCCGTAGCCGCCTCCTCCTCCTCCGCCCCTCACAATACCATCCAGCCGCCTCCCCTCCTCTCCCCTCCCCTCCCGCAGATGGGCTGCCCTCCTTCCACCCGACCTAATGCCGGGGGGGCTGTGCAGGAACGCCAGCGCGGGCGGAACCCTTGGCGTCAACGCCCCACGCCTCCCCTGTGCAGGCAGGGACCCCCTCAGCGCCTCACCACAAACCCATCCCTAACAGCAATACTGTGTCCCCTCCTCCCTCCACAGCCTGAAAGAGAAAATGGCGCTCGATTTACCTCAGGAAATGACGTAGGGCCTCATTTGCATGCCAGTTAAGTTAGCCAATGGGAAGAAAGATTGTATTGGGACACCTTGGTTCTTCCATATAGATCACCTTGGGCCCCTGAACTAAAGCTGAATGAGAGGTCCAAAAATGAGAGTGAGAAGAAACCACCTGTTTCCTACCCACCTCTCAAGAAAAAAAAAAAATACCCCCTACTCTTCCTACTACACTTAGCTTCACTTGTCTGTCACTTAAAGTTGCATCTGTGTAAACTCTCGTGAGAGTTTAAGGGAGTTGGTGATGACATCATGAGCAGGGGGTGGGGAGATGATGTCATCAACCATGTGATCAATCACATGTTACCAGCAGAACATTGCCTCATTTGCATGGAATGGGGGTGGAGCCACAGGACAAGCTGAAGAAATTAGTAGCTCCACCCATAACTGAGAGCCAATAGGAAACAACATGTGAACAGAACCCTATCTTACCATTGGAGAATGGAATTTTTGATGACAGAACTTTGAAAAATATTTTTCATATGACATATGTTGGTAGTAAAGTGATTAGGGGTCCCAAGCACTAACTTCTTAATTCATATTCAGAGGGAAGTCCATTTCAGACTCTTACATGAAAAATGTTGAGGTATTTTTAAGTCAATACTTTGGGGTGAGGGGGTTAATTTCAAAAGTTTATAATTTTCCAAAGTTCCATTATGCCAATAAGAAAAAGGATTCTTGCTTTCCTTAGAAGATCACGCCAAGCAATATTTTGTTGTCTTATATGGAGTGGTAGTGGTAGCTAGCCAATCTTGGTTATCCATCCATCCATCTATCCATCCATCCATCCAACCATCCATCCATCCATCCATCCATCCAACCATCCATCCATCCATCCATCCGTTCAACCATCCATCCATCCATCCATACATCCATCCATCCATCCAACCATCCGTTCAACCATCCATCCATCCATCCATCCTTCCGTCCATCCATACAACCATCCATCCTTTCAACAAATATGGAACCCCTACTGTGTTAGACATTGGGGCTAGTCAAGGTAAAGACATGGAGACCTCAAAAATTGTAAAATAATGTAGGAGATAACATGTGTACCCAAATAATTACCCAAAAAGCAATAGTGCATGTACATGATGTGTATATAGGTTTAGGAATTAGACCTGTAATTTCATTGTATAGGGAACAAGAAATGGAATGAGAAAATTTCCTTTGCCAATGCTGATCAGCACCTTCTGTGCAACTTAGAAGGTAGTCTAGAGCACTAAGAGATTAGGTGAGTTGTCCAAGTTCATCAGTACATGTCCCAACTTGAACCTAGGTCTTCCTGGAGCTGAGTCCTATATCCACTATACCACACTACCTCTCCATTAATACATATATATATATAATATATGTATATATGTATGCATGTATATATACACTGAACTATATATCTGAGATATAAAAAAATTTTAGGATCAAAGGGCATCCTAGCCACAAAGCAGAGAGAATATTCAAATGAACTAAAAGAGATGGTCAGAATTATTATCAAAGATTCAAAGTCAGAGTCATGTTGTTCTTCAAAAAAAAAACCAAAAAACTGTTGGCAGTCAAAAAATCATAAAAACAGACAGAATTTCAAAAAATCCAATACGCTTTCATACAATTTATATATTAATATATATAATATATATGTGTGTGTATATATGTACATATATATATATTCACATACTATATAAAGATGATGCTACCAACTGCAAAGCCATAGACCTTAAGCTATTCTTCTAGAGGTGGTCCAAGATTTTCAATGAGCTCATCCTTTTTCCCTTGAGATCATCACACTACTGTAAAATTGTGATACACCACTGAAGATGAAACCTATGCCATTTTTTGAATAGAAATATAGACATGTACATATGCACACCTACAAATCAGATGTTTATTTTAAGAAATAATCAGAGAAATTCTAAGGAAAAGGTTATCTCTTTTCAATGGCTTGAATGGAATCCTGCTTAGAGAACAAGGGACACTGTACCCTAAAGAATACCTCTTAAAGGCATTCTCAAGTCAATAAAGTATGAAAGGATCCCCAAAAATATTTGTTCAAAGATATTTCTGTTAAAATATGTGTTTCTCTGAGTTAAGTACTACTAAAACATTCAAGTATTTGTCACAAATCTACTGTATAGTAGCACTGTGCTAGGGAAGATACCAAGTTTAGCCCTCTGATTGGATAGCACCTCGAAGATCCTCCATTTAAGGAGGGTGCCCAAGCTAGCCACATCTTGCTCTATGAGGTCCATACCAAAGGACTTCCTCAACCCCCACCCCCATCTCAGCCTCCTTTTGTTTCTCCTACTCTCCTCTCCCATTTTCAGCTTCCTTTTATGGGTAGTCTTCCCCATTTGAATGGAAACTCCTTCAGGGCAAGGAGTGCCTTCCTTTCTACTTAATATTTGTATTCCTAGCCCTTGGCATAGTGCTTGGCTTAATGATAGTTGACTGACTGAGATAATACAAGGTTCCTGCCTTAAGCAAGTTTACAATCTTTTAGGAATATTTGATAAAAATGCAAATAAAATAATACAGAGGCAAATAATAAAACAATACATAGGCAGTTATGATAAACATTTGAGAAGTTTAAGCAAAGTACTATATTAGGAAGAATGGTATAGTAAGAAGACTAAAATCAAAGAGTTAGATGTGGGTTTGAAACCCATCTCCAACACTTACTAGCTATGTTATCCCGGATAAAATCACTTAACCTCAGTTTCCTCAACTGTAAAAATGGATTTAACACCCAAAGAGGCCCTATCTCTCACAGGGTTGCTGTAGATGAAATCATAGAATTAAATCTAGAAAGGAACTTGGAGGCCTTCAAAAATATCCCCTTCATTTTACAGATGAAGAAACTGAGGCATAGTGAAGTTAAGTGACTTGCCCACGGTCACACAGCTATTCAATGTCCAAGATAATATCTGAATCTAGGACTTCTGTCTCTAAATATAGTATCCCAACCACTATGCCCTCTCAAGTAATGCATCATGAGGTAAGTATGTTAAGTGTTTTGTAAACCCCAATGCTTTTCCAAATGTTAAATGTAATTATTATGTCAAAGGTGGGAAACAGTCATTACTGATTATTGGGATTAGGGAAATCTTCATGGAAGAGGTAGTATTTAAGTCAGACTTTAAAGTATAGATAAAAATTTAATAGCCAGGAGAACAGAAAAAGAAAAAATGTAAAAGGCATAGTGTGAGCAAAGGAGTAATAGAAAAAAGCTAAATGTATGCTTAAGGAGATTATTCAAATATAATCAAAACATTAATTTGTTTTTCATTTGTTTTGTAAGAGTATGAGTTGTATGCAAAATATAATGAAAAAATAAATAATTCAAGGATTATCATACCAGCAGTAAAAAAAATTTTTGAGGGCATAGTCTTGCTTGTTCATATAGTTCGTATTAACTTATATGTGTAGATGCTGTTCTCACACACACCCACATAGAAAGTAGAATGTAAGCTCCTTAAAGACATGGACTTTTCCTTTTTTCCTTTGAAATATTCTGTTACAATATAATTACTCCATTTTAAACATAGGAACTATGTAATGGTTCCTAATTTCCACATAGTTCCCTTCCCTGCGTTTTTGGAAATTTATTTTAGATGAGAAGTTGAGTTCAATCACAATTGCTCTGAGCCCCCAATTAGGAAAATTCCTAATATTTAGGAAGAGATTTAATTCTCTGCCAAAATTTCTATGCCTGTATTTACATTATCTATCTCTACTTAACCCTTAGCCACTTTGTGTTTAAGGCAAAATTAAGCTTCCTGGAGACTTTGGGATAACAGAAGATTATGTACAGTGTCAGTAAATAGGCAGGCAACAGAAGAAGTTAGAGAAAGAGCAGAACTTGTCTCAAGACTTCTTCAGACCTGGAATATGTGAGTATACTGGTGGAGCTAACAGGTCTCTTTGGCTCTAAGATACTTGTAGAGGCAATGGCAGTCTTTTTTCCTTTGTCCCAACTCAGTCCTCTCTTCTAATCCTCCTTTCACTGGTTGCCCTGGGCTACCAGTATTGCTTCAGCTCTATTTGACCCCTCACGTGCTTCCAGTCTGCTTCCAGACACTTTCATTCTCTCTCTGGTTCTGCGGTAG